TTTCCCAGTACTTCACCTAAGATTTTGATGTTTTAGACCCCCGTAGAACCTCATTGGTCCTCCATTGGTCCCCCGTAGAACCTCCATTTTATGGCTACATTAACGTAATATTTTAAAATATTAACCTTTTGTTGCATGGTGTCCATGTTTGTAGACATATTCTACAGTAGTAGTAATTCTGCAGCCCCATTCTCCAAAACTTTCACTAAAACATCATTCCCATATTTGTAGACTTCTTAACTATCAGAATAAAATCAGAGTCGATGTACCCTGCCACTCTCTTGTATCTCCCAAATGTTTTCTTTTACTATATCATCCTTGGGTGGCGACAAGTGAGGGCCTCCCTCATCATTTAATTTAATATGCAAAGAGTGATTTTTTGAATTTTCGAAAAAGCACTGGAATGCACTTCCGAGAGAGCAAACTTACATGTGGATCAACAACATGTTCCTCACGGGAATATTACTGGCTAATGTAATTTTTAAACTTGTTTGTCCACATATGTGGACATCGTGCATTTTGGGAAACCGAATGTCATGAACGCCACATTTGAACATTGTGCATGTCTAGGCAGAATGTAAAGCCTATTGCTGTCAGGCACCTGGCAGAGGCCCTGGACATCTTATTTGAATCATCCTCTCCCATTCATCCTCTAAAAATGAATCCTTTCTGGTAGTCCTTTTTTTGCTTGTGTCTTGTTTTGTTTTCGGGTAAATATACTCATTGACAAAGGAAAAGCACGACCAAGAAGGAGTTGGGCGATCCTAGAGTAATTTGGTACACATGCTCGTACTCGTGTACCATGAAATCGATTAAAGTTTCTAGGTTGTGGAATGGATGTTCATGAAACAGGGTCAAAAAGATATCCAATTTAAAAACGACCATGGGGTCTTGCTAATCACCATAAACAGCGCCTAAAATATATTTATTGATGAAACGAAAAGGGAGGAAAACTCCTAAACATATGACGAAAACTCAAGCAAAGCTTCGAGGTCATGAGATATGCCAGTTCAAAGATAAAAATTGGCAAAGGTCCTAGTAGTCCAGGAAATGGGCGGCGCCATTGTAGGTGCCAGTTCGCCTCTCTCTCAAGCCGTTTCACTATGGGCCCGCTGTCGAGGGTCAAACTGTGAGGCAGTGTCACGATGAAAACTCCGAAGGCAATTCGTTTTTAGATTGTTCATCGATTCAGACTAATCGGGATGGATGCATCAGCTGTATGTATCAAGTTGATGCAAGGTAAGTATTTTTTCAGTAATTGTGTTGCTAAAGGGAGATTATGACAAGATTTGCAGCCATTATCTCCTGTAGTTTGCTTTTATGCAACAAAGGGTTAATGGCCATGCGTACATACGAAATTGGACCGTGAATCATGACACCAGCTGCATGAATCCCATTATATCAATCACTGCCAGGGGAACCCCGGGGGCAGGAGAGAGTAGCGAGAACATCTGGCAATGCTGAACACATTTGATGACGAAGCACCGAGTCCTCTTCTCATGGGGATTATGCCCAGTCAATTCGCTTCATTGTGTGAGGCTGCCCATTCCCTTTCAACTCTTCCATCTCGTTTCCTGCGGATTAGAGCTATGGAGAGGCTGACCTAGGTAGGAATCTTGAAATACGCATCCTCTGATTCATCTTCGAAAGCGGAGAAGCCCGGACCGACCAGCTCAGTAGCAGACAGGCATTCTCCCAAGCTTTTTCGTGTCATTACTGGCTTTCAGTACCTGATAAATTTTCATTAACTCCAACAAGGGAATCCATAGATTAATCTGGGAGGAAGCATTCCACAAACTATCAAGTAGCTCAAATAAAGTGAAAATTACTTTTACTACACAGTAGCTCTTGATGTTGTCTTTCATACTTGATCCTGGTTAGGTTCCTCCTAAGGTGCCTACCCTCAAGGTAGATAGCATATAATCTATCTACCTTGTCTACGTTGAAGAGCCGCCACTGTCTTCCGCATGGATTTACGAGTCCATGTCTCCTTACCCTCAACTAGAGTGATTACCGCTTTTGTGGCACTCAAAAGTATTCTGTTTACTGAACGACGCTGCGTGCGCAGTTTAGATTGACCCAGCACGGCTAAGGTATCAAGGTAGTTTAGTGGTATCAAGAGGCGATAGCACCCATTTGGATACCACGTGTCAAGGTCGAGCGTTCCATAATTTTAGGTAGGCCTACTCCTCGTAAGGTAGCAATGCCCCTTTAAAACTAATTTGGCGAGTTCCAGTAGTGTAAATCAACCCTGTATATCAGGTTGGAGGCCTCGAGAAACTATTTCAATTTCATGCATACTTTGCTTAAATTATGTTAATTAGGTATCAATATGGCCGCCGTGAGTGAAAAAAATTGCGATATTTCAAACACGATACATTAGAAATCCTTGAATACAAATTGGATGAAATTCACATATATAATAAATGACACCATAAAGCTTGGAATGACGGAGCAATTTGATGGAATTCCTTCAAAAGAAAAATATTCGATTAAAATAATTTATTCCACTATTTTGACCTGCTTATTATTAATAATTGCTTATTAATTATGTATTAATATTCTGATTATCAAAATCGCGTTCACCATATCTGGAAATTCAATCGTCCTTCCACGACCACCGATGCAAAGAAATTTAGTGCAAAAAATCATACAGATATCTCTACTAAGTCCTGAGATATCGTGCTCAAGAGCCATGTACTTGGTGAAAATGGGTTTTCAGAAAATCAATTTGGGAAATAAATTTTGAAGGCTGTCATATTTGCCGCAAAGGTCATCGAAAACTACGGAACCTACCGACTCCGTGGAATGAAGCACCTAGGAGTGGAATCCAGAGTGAAATATTGGGTGGATTTTTGAACCATAGGCTTCTACAAAAGTCATGACGGAATTTTAATTTTTCATCTTTTCAAACATTTGGTATCCAAGGGCCAAAGTCTGTGCTACGGAGATGTAATTAAGATAATACTACACTAATTAGTCAAATTTACAACTAATTAATTAAATTCCATTACTTTTTCCATAGGAAAGCAATCTTCAGTGTCTGAAGTATTGTTTGAGTCAATTTTTTTTGCGAACAGATTTTTTTTCGAGAAAAAAATATATTTTTCATGGGGTATTGCTACCTTAAATCTAAATATTTTTGTATTTTTTTGTGATTTTTTTCTTAAAGCATATCCTAGTTGCTTACTACCTAGTCCATTAAGTCAACATTGCCCCCCTTTTTGCCTGTCCATAAAAACATCTAATTTCTTCTTTAAAATAGTCACGGAAGGGGCAGCCACTATGTCGTTATCTAACGCATTCCACGCGTTCACCACACTGCTAGTAAAGAAGTCCTGTCTCGACCTGAGCTGCACCTGCAGTTTACGCAACTTGAGTTGATTACCTCTCGTTCTCTTGCTGCCATCAAACTGGAAGAACCTACCACACTCGACATGATCCATTCCTTTAATTATCTTGAAAGTCTGGATGAGATCGCCCCTTCTTAACCCTCTCTTGAGCGAGTACAGTCCCAGCATTTCTAAACGCTTCTCGTACGGAAGTCCCTTAACCTCCTTTATCATTCTTGTGGCCCTCCTCTGTACCCCCCCGAGCGCCAACAATTCACCCTTGTTAGAAGGCCTCCAAAACTGGAAGCAATATTCCAACTGGGGGTTTTACCAGCGCCACAGTTGGAGTATTGCATCCAGTTTTGGATGCCTACAAAGGCCTAAAACTAAGCGAAAATAATTTACAAAGCATGTGATTGTGAGTTTTATGGCATGAATTTTGCGATCAAGAGCTATTGAAGTCTTACGTCTATTGCGCATTTCGTATCCTTTGGCATTTGTCAATATCAGTGAAAATTGACTGGCCGAACTCTTTGGCAACACTGTACTCTCCAGTTCGTAATGGCGCAGCACATAATGTAAGAAGTTTTATGCCCAAGCTGGCTAGTCAGGAAAGAGTTCGGATGGACCGCGTGCGTTATTTGGATCATTGCGTTGGCCTTGGCCGCGTTACTCTTCAGCGAATCTGATTGTGACTCCATTCATTCTATCAGAAAGTGTTGGCTACCAACAGTATTTTAAGTGGTTCCGAGGAAAATAGAAAACTTACGAAGTCCATTCGACATTCGAATTCAACAAGTTATGAAGGTCTATGGCTAATGTGTTTGGCACACCTTGACAGGCCTAACTTAGGATGGAGCCACATTCGACAGCATATTGGCTTTCTACTCAAACTAAATACCGAAATGGAATTGCTTTTCAGGCCTAACGTCACTGACTTGTTTAAGCAAAGCGTAACCCATGAACCTGCAGATAAAGATTAAGTTCTTCTCACTCCTTAAGTCAAGGTAGTTTCCATTCGCATGATGTCACCTTTCATATACTTCCATACCTTGCTATTTGTTTGACACTCAGTATTTCCTAACCTGTATTATGGGCCTTTGGTGTGAAGGCTAAGGCAAATCTGAAACTTTGCAGTATTTTATATTCTGGAAGGCTATCTTGTTGTGCATAAGGGAGACTATTGTGATTTCTCATTCCTTTATGAGACTCCTGTTTAATGACTTGAGTAACAAAGAGTGATAGTAAGTCCCATGTGCTTCTGAATAAATATGCTCTTAACAAGGGTGATGAATGTGACTTGCAGATGCCTCTAAGTGAAATTGCAACTACTCTTAGAACATGTATAAGTTCTTACAAACTGACTCCTGCTATCCCTCTGATGTCTGATCTACCCATTCTGGTTGAACCAATTAAAAATTTAAAATAATATGTATTTCTATAACCCATTTTATTAAAATTTATTTAAGGTGAACAAAGAAATAAACTTTTAATCATCTAAGATATCCTGATGAAATGACAGGAAATGTGTTCCACTCTGCTGTATGATACCCCAAGGATTCCTGCTTTCTCATTGGTGATAAGCTCCTTATTACATTCAAGTTGTGAATTGTTCAAGGGCCAAATGCAAACGTAGGGTTTATGAGCATGAATGGTGTTTATCTTTTGTTACAGATGCTGAAAACAGAAGTGGCTGCTGATTCATTGTTGCTTGTGAACGTGTAGTTGGGTGTCAGTTTTAAAGCAATGGGCACCATGGAAAACTTTAATCTGAAGTGGAATTCCCATTATACCGAAGCATTTGGTGCATTTCAATCCCTGCGAGGGAAAGAACTGTTAGTGGATGTCACCCTCTCTTGTGAAGGAGAAAACATTAAGGCCCACAGGCTGGTACTTTGTGCATGCAGTTCTTACTTTGAAAAACTATTGGGGGATTCTTCAGCCATTCAATACCCAATAGTTTTCTTCAAAGAAACTAAGCTTGAATACCTCAAGCTTGTGATTCAGTTCATGTACCAAGGAGAAGTGGAGGTGCCAAGCACAAAACTTACAGACTTCCTAAATGTAGCTGAGGCCCTGGAAATCAAAGGTTTGAAGAAAGGGGGTTCAAGTCCCTCAGAACCTGAACCCTTTTCTAGTCCACAGGCAGAGAATGAGAAAATGGCATTGCCTGCCTCAACACCTGAGGAGAATTTTTTTGAGCCAGATGACTCATCACACAATATCCTTGAGTCCTTGGCAGGGAAAAGGCCTAGACTCCAGTTCAATCGGGAACTCACTGTCCAGCCTCTTCCTCCTGTACCTGATGATGAACCAGTAGCCAGCAACAGTATTGTTCCCCCTGTAAGTTCTTCAGGTTTTGATGGAACTAATCAAGATATTTTGTTGAGGGCTCTATCTTTTTTCCCTTTTGTTACATTTAGATTTTTGAATTTATATTCATATTAATCAAATATATCCTAGAAAGTAGAGTTAGGATAGCTAACTTTGTGGATTATATCTTACACTAGGGCATAGCAATTGTAAGAAAGAAACACATCTAAATCTAAGTTTAAATTTAAATTATGTCTTTTCATTTATTAGAAATAGGAGTGTTTCTTTAAAATATCGTTAAGTTTTTACTTTTCCCCTCAGCTCTTCTCCCCAGTGTATGGTCATTGGATGATGAAGGATATGACAATAAATATGCAGAGCAATGTGAAAAAATTTGACCAGGGACTTCTTTCAGCCCTTTTTAGCAACTCAATTAATCTTCCTTTTGTAAATGCATTGAAGCTTTTGCTGGTGTACCCATTGAAGAATTCAACCCTTCTCATCACAGAGAGTAATGATGCACACTCCTCAGAGTTCTATGTGATGTATCAAAGCAGAATTTGGCAGAGCATCAAATATTCAGCCATGGTCAGAGGCCAAATGCAAAATTATTTGGTAGCTAGCGTAGATTTTTGGCCCAGGAAAAAGAGATGCATGACAGGAGCAAACATTATTATTTAGAACCTAGGTTTTTTTCAGAGGTAGTTTGCAGACACTCAAATATCATTGCAACATGAAGTCAATGCTCTAAGTTGCATTTGGCAATATTTTACATATCCCATCAAGGTGAAAGGTATTTCCCTTTCCTCTTCCAGGACTATTTCACCTTCAAGAGCCAGAAGAAATGAAAAAAATTTCCCATCATGTCACCAAATGCTACTTTTGCAAAATAGTAAACTTTTTTCAGGTTTCAGTTATTCTGAGTTTAGTTTCCTGGGAATGTGTACATGGCTTCTGATATTTAAAGAAGAGTGGAGCAGAATTTGTAGTGGGAATTATGACTGATGTGTTTTGTAAATGTGTTTTGTAAATTTGAAGTTAAGAGAATTCAATATTCTGCCAAGTTTGTCCTTGTAACTGACTAAATATCTGAATGTCAAATACGAAGTATACAATTTTTTTATCTCTAGTATTTTTCTGTGTCTTAGGCACCTACCTTGAAAGATCCATGGACAAATTCATCATTTTAAAACATAATGTGGGAAATATTTAATAGCTTGAAAAAATGTGGGTCCTACATCTTCCCAAGAGATGAAGTTTTTCAGACATCTATTGTTCTGTCACCCACAACAACATTTAGGCAAATTTATCAATCAGAAACTTTCATGAAAAGCTATCCTCTTTAGACAGGAAAGGAGAGCCTTTATGGTAGTTTATATTTACACATTGGAACATTCCACACATAATGAAACTAAATGGGGAACACATCTGCCCTTTATGTCAAAATACTGAAATTCTGATGCATTTCCTGATGGACTGTGAAGGATTGTCACATAAGGCAAAAATTTCTGGAAATGGCCTAACAAAACCATAACATGTCATTCTCTGAAAACCTGTTAGATACATTCACCCCTTTGAAGGCTGTTGGTTTCCTTTTATGTGAAGCAATTTTTTTCAAGAAAGCCAACATAGACAAGTATGTTCATATTGTTCCTGGTGCCTATGATATGATGTCCATGTTTGTTTCATTGTTTCTCATGTCTTTGTTCTTTGTTCATGTTTGTTTACCCTTGGTAATTAAGTTGATTATGCACTCTAGGTTGACTAATTATAACCTATTCTTCAGTTTATTAATTTAGGGTGGACTCTTATTTAATTGTTTGTTTGCATTTATTTTTTACATGGTAGATGAGTAACAAGTCACAGGATGATTCACTAAATGTTCCTTTGTTAAAAATCTCATTTATTTTTCTTCTTCAGCCCAAGACAGAACTTGTGGAAAACTCAATAGAACAAGAAGTTCTCAATATGGAGTTGAAACTTGAAGAGAACTCTGATGGAGCTGTGGATTCCCTTGATGATGATCTTGAGGTAAGACTAATTTTCCTTCAGAAACTCATTGAAGTAGGTTTTTGTTCCTTTGAAGCAGGCAGCATTGTGGGGGTACAGGAGGAAAGATTGTATTTGCAAAGCAAGTTATTCATCATGCAAGCAAGAGATGTTACTGAGGATGGGTGAACTAAAGCAGATCAAAATGACCTTATTTACTCTGCAGGAAACATATATAGGATATAGTCCAAAATAGATTGGTTGTTGTTTCTTTCTTATGTTATTTTCTATAATTTTTTGGCCAACTGGCATGATTAAAACACAATTTTTAGGGCTGACAATATCATAGAAGAGGGTGATCTTGTTTCTGAGAGGTTTTTTGAAACTTTTCCTACATTGTTTTTTCTGCTTAGATCCTTAATCTCAAGAACAACAATTTGTGGCAGGTCATGGTGTTGAGTTGAACAAAAGTCAGAAATTTGTTACTTTAGGCTGGAGTGGTTAGTTTGGTTACGTTTCAAGTTACTCATATTTTTTTATAAAAAAAAAGAATAAAATTGATACTTGGTCAGAACAGTTGGAGTAGATGAGGGGAGATTACATTTTCATTCATGCCTGCTTTCCTCTTGTCCCCACCACCATTATCAATCTCAGATTGTCCCTTTAACATGTTGACTGCCATGGCCATATTGGCCTGGTGACTTTCCTGGGCCAAATTAAATTTTTACATCCCTTGGAGAAGTTGAAACATGGGGCATACCAGTGTGCCCCATGGCAGTCACCCTGTTAAAGGACAAGGCTGAAAGTGAAAAAATCCTCATCTTGTTTATGTCCTGACATTGACCTTTGTGGCTGGAATTTCTGATGGATAAACTTAGATTGGATGCTTGGAACTTAGATGTACTACATTTGAGGTTTTCTTCTATCATTTGTTTAGTAGAAATTGGATATGATTTAAGTTATGCTTTTTTTTTTATTAGATGGGAGAAGCTTCATGGAAGGAAGAGGGCTATCCATTAGAAGTGAGTATGATGGGTGTCTATCCACCTCCTGGATCTTCCAGCATCCCGACTGACATCTCTGCGAAGGTGAGCCTTCGGTTATTTTCCAAATTGCAGTAGTAAATTACTGAAGTTTTCTGAGTTGTCTTTGAAGCAGACATACAATTTCACTGACTTGTGTCAGACTGTATCGCTTCTTCTATGTCAAATTTTTAAATTTTGTTCTAGAGGTTGGTTTGCTTAGTAATCTTCCTTTTTGCAGGTGTCAAATTTTTAGTTAAACATATCCTTTCCTCTAGAGGAAACTATTGATGACATCTATCCTTTCTGTATTGATTGCAAAAATACAATACAGGTGACTCTCATTATACGTAGGGGTTTGTGTTCCTGGAACTTTGTAGGGAGGAGGTAACCAGATGTATGGGAAAACGCAGATAATAAAAGCGCTTATAACGAGAGTCACTTGTATTCTATGGCATGAGGAGACCAGTGAAGAGCAGCTGTTCTGCTGACAGTGGAGTTCCTTATCCATTTTCAATTTCCAATTTCTTTATTGGAAAGTGGGTGTTCTAAAAGTCAGGGGCCTTTATTTTGTCTTACTATTATATTAAATATTATATTAAATGTATTCCTAAGTTTGAATACTTCATAGATCTAAGATCAATATTGGTTCCATTTGTGGTAATTCCATGAATACTCTGTTGAATTCCATGATGGACTCAAAACTTACTATGAGCTGAAATATGGGTGGGTCTCATGATGGAGCATCTATTATTATTTTCCTCTTAAGTGTTCTTTGTCTCTATGGTGGTTTTCTTTGTAAGCCAACATGAAAGGTAGAAGTTGACCCATGTATTATTGGTCTGGTGTATACCATTAAATATTTGCATTTTATATGATAGTCATAACATGTAAATCTTTTTTCTTTCAGGACTTGATGAACTTTGCCTATTCTGAGGAGGAGTTGGTGCAGCGTTTCAATCCAGACTCCATGACTCCTTCCAAGTTTGTTGCAAAGCTGATGACAATCCTGTGCAGCACTGAGGAGATGGCAAGTCATTCCCTTTGTGGGTATATGACTGGGAAGGATTTTAAGCCCAAACTGGATCCACACAAAGTTGAAGTCATTACAAGTGAGTGGACTTTGACCTTCCTTTCAACTAATGTAGGCTTTTCATCATGGTTTTACCAATATAAGTTTTTGACCTGCATCCCCATAACCAGTATTTGTTCATTGGTAGTCTGTGTTTTAGTTGTCTGATTTTGCAACACTGTTGGGAGGCTTAAGTGGAAAGATAGACCAATATTATCTTTCTTAAATCAATAATTCAGGTACTTATACTTGCAGCACAATATTAGCAAGTATTTCAAAATACAATATGAAGGCAAGAAATTCAAGTTGAGTTGCATCAGCAGATCTTGATTTATTTTAAAGAAAGAGCAACTTGTTCACATTTTCACCCAAGCCTGCATGACCTTTTGCCATTTGAATATTTTTCATTTCAGACAGATATGTATGGTGCACCTAAAAATTTCCTTGCCACAACCCCAATGGCAGGATATTTGCAATAATTTCACATTGTACATCTTGCACATATCCTCCTCCTTGACAATATTTTGTATCTGTGGGCCTTCCCTATGCTCACACTGCAGTTTAGACTGCACTGCTACACTTGGAGTCCCATTTTCTTTCCCACAGAATGAAGGAATCCCCAGACAGGATCAGAATTCTATCCTTATATCAATTGGGATTCCACTTCCATAGATCAGGAGAGTGAAAATAAGTATTGGAAAAAAAAAAGGAATTTTGGATTTCCTAAATTTTTTTTTCTGTACCCATACATGATCACATTCATGTGCTCTTGCCTCAAGGTAACCAAAGAATGTCTTTGTAACTGATCATGCCATCCTATGAGTGAAAACATGAAGGAACAGGATGATTAGGTGCAACAGAGAGGGTCGTATGGGCCCTAAATATTTTCATCATGCACTCTAGTATTAGTATTGACTTCGTTTCCTAGATTGCCTAAAAAGTACATTTCTGTCCTCTTTGTCAGAGTATACAATCCTGCTGTACCCATACGTGTCTGAGAGCCTCATCCGCCGCTCAATTCAACAAAAACTGAACAATGTGGACAAGTACATGAAGCAGAAGAGGAAGCAGGAGCTGAAAGGAGCTGGATCCAATGTGGGGACAATCCAAAAGATTCCCATTCCACCTGTAGGTGGGCCTTCCAACAGTGGCATCTCAGGATCCAAGATGTTCAACACCTTGGGAAGTACCCTCTAATTGAGGCCATGTAATCTGATGAAAGTATCAAGAAACGATGTGTCATGCTTTCTGTGCCATCTCTTAGGCTTATATCCTCCTCATTCAGCATCTTGTGTGACTCACACATCTTCTCTGACCTGTGATGTCTTCCCTTGTATGCTTCATGTTCATGGCTGGCATCTTGCAGCTTAGAATTCCTGCAAGGACAGACGGATTTTGAGATTCAAGAGGAATTATCCAGGTGTCGTTTTGTGATTTGATGTCAATGCATGTTACAGTGAGGTTGAATTATTGGAGGTTTTTGTGTATCCTCCTTGATCTCCATTGCTCCCTCTCATACAGCTAATAATTAAAATCAACTAAGGATTTATCTGTCAGCTCTGCTTTCCCTCAGAAAACAGTAAGCTTGGCATGTGCTGCCTTGTAAGAGATGGAATTTGTATTAATGCAATACTCTTCTATCAGCTTTTGCCTTTTGTTGCTTTTGCTCGAAGGTATGAGTTGGAATATTTTGATCAAAAATTTAGCCAAAAGTATGAAAGCTGGCAGCCTCACAATGAACTGTCTTCAATTCATTCTCAGGCTCTTTCAGATATTTTTCAGCCAGTTGGAACTCTACTCATTAGGCTGATCCTATTACTACTGTTCTGTAATTCCTTTACTTTCTCCACCTTTCTGTTTCACCTGTCACCTTTGCCAATAGAAGTTGAGCATTTTAGGACTTGGCATCATTAATCATGTCCCACTAGGCAATTCTCACAGGCAGCTCTTCCCCCGCCCTCCCCCTCCCCTTGACCTGGGCATGATTATGTATCTCTGAATATGGAATACTCTGCCTGAACATGTGAGCTTGTGATATTCTGTATATTGGTGAAAATATGGTTTGTAGCATAGGATAGGGTTAGATTGTGCTTTGATTTGAGCTGGGGCATGATCAATCATGTGAGCAAAGGGGCATTACAATCGAGATGTTTGCTTCTCGCACGCCAAAGATCCACCAAAGCCAGTGAGTGTCTTTTGCTCTGGGGACTTTGACGTCTTCTTTCCTCATTAGCCTGCATTCAAGCGAGATCGATATCATCTTTATGTGTGCATATCAATAAGTATCAACCTGGAACTTGTGCTTCATTATGTGCAAGATATGTATAAGATTCAAGGGATCGTGTGGAAATGCATCATTGTATGCAGGTATATAGGTGGCAACCCACTCAGAGGTATTCCAAATCTTTTTCTAACTGAAATTCTTTGTCTTCAATGCTATAAGCTACCAACTGTAACTCTCTTAGTGGCTTGTCAGTGTTTGTAAGTGCTGAGGAAAGGCTCCTGATTTTTCTTTCTAGTTGTCTAGTTGTAACTCAGTGTTTTATGTATCCATTTATTTGAAATTCTCCATCATTGAGTTTTTATCAGTGTTGCATCATTCTCCAACTGAGTAGCAAGAGGTTGATGGATTTGGGAATGTCCTTCCTAACTAGGCTGGGTATTGAGTTCCTTGCTACAGGTTTTGCAAGAAGCTTCAGTTTTTAGAATGATGCTTAGATTATTCTGAGAAAAGGTTGAGCTCTATAATTCTTGCCCTCTAATGTTTGCTTTCAGCAGCTTTTTTTCATGTTCAGTGCAGCTGCTTGATGTTGATAGACAAAGTCTTTTTTTGATATTTTTGATATGTCAGATTTTTTTGATCATTCAATGGAGGACTGGATCTTCTGAATTATTTGATCAAAGTCATCATGCATATTACTTGATTTACCATATAATACAAAATCTGCCATGTCTTTTTTTTGTGTGTGGGAGGGTATTACTGGGATATTCACTCAAGGAAGGCAAACAAGTGAGTTCCCTTTTTTCTCTCCTTTTCTTCCTTGTCATAAGCAACTTTATGTGACTTTAAGCAGAACTGACCTGACTTCCAAAGATGAATGATGTTGCATACTCATGTCAATGTCTTGTCTGCGTATTGTACATGTGTCATCATTTCTGAGAATAAAGAGGGTGTTTCTTGGCCTTGTAACTGTCAGTTTAGTGATCATTAATGTGTAACTTGAAGGGGAGAAGTGGCATTTTGTTAAACCCTTCAAGCGCTGAGTTTTGACTCGACCTCCTAAGTGATGAACGTACGGTGTACATGAAAACGGCTTGAAGGGTTAAGTAGGCATTTGTCAAAATATGTTTTGTATGCTAGTGAAAGAGGAAAATTTTTATTTTTAAGAACCCTGTAAACATCCAGCGTTTTTTTAATTTAGCTTTGAAAAGCTTAATGGCATAAATCATGAGGTCACTCAATCATGTCAAATAAGAGATAAAGTCAGACATCTGTTGCATTGTCTTTCACTGACAGGTACTGTCACAGCAGCATCACTAATTAGCATGACATTATTTCCTGTGTTGGGTGCATTACTTGTGAAAAGTAACTAGTTACAATTACAAGTATTCCATCCAAAAAGTAATTAGTTTCCAGTAGAATTACTTCTCACCAAAAGTAACTCGTTTCAAGTAGAAGTTACTTTTCCTGAACAAAAATTCTGATCCTTCTACACCTTCTCCACTTCTTTGACAGAAGCTGGATGCATAGACTGAAAGCGAAAGTTACCCCTGATTTCACGAAAACTGAGTTTGATCATTACTAATGATGATCATAATTCAATTTTCATTTCCAGTTTCCATTTCATGACCAGTTCGGCTGAACTGGATAAATACTCATGATCACTCTTTTCCCTGTGCCTCTTCCCTTCCCATGGGCTACTTAAGTCAACATTGCTTCTTGCTTGTCCATAAAAGCATCTAGTTTCTTCTTTAAAATAGTCACGGGAGGGGTAGCCACTACGTCGTCGTCTAACGCGTTCCACGCGTTCACCACTACAAGTAAATAAGTCCTGTCTCAACCTGAGCCGCACCCAACCGAGGTTTACGCAACTTGAGTTGATTACCTCTCGTTCTCTTGCTGCCATCGACCTACCACACTCGACATTATCTAATTATTCCTATTCCTGTATCTAATTATCTTGAAAAGGCAAATTTACTTATCATACTCTCTACGCCTAGATCCAAATCGTTTATGTCGACCAGAAACAGAAGTGGTCCCAGGACCGAGCCCTGAGGGACCCCGTTTGCGACACTGACCTCCCTCGACGCTTCCCCATTTACCATTACTCTTTGCTCTCTTCCCGTCAACCAGTTATTGATCCACTCGCTCGCCCTACCCTGGATCCCGTGAGCCTCCAGTTCAACCAGTAACCTCTAGTGAGGAACGGTATCGAAAGCTTTCGCGAAATCTAAATAGACGATGTCCACGGAGCAAATTTACTCATCTTACCCTCTACGCCGAGCTCCAAATCGTTTATGTAGACCAAAAACAGAAACGGTTGGAGGACTTCGCCTTAGGGACACCACTTGCTCGTCCGACCTCCTTCGACGCTTCCCCATTTATCATCACTCGTTGCTCTCGTCCTGCCAACCAAATACCGATCCACTCGCTCGTCCGACCCTGGATCCCGTGCGCTTCCAGTTTAACCCCCAACCTCTCGTGAGGAACGGTATCGAAAGCTTTCGCGAAATCTAAATAGACGATGTCCACGGGATTCCCTTTGTCCCTCTATTCCGTCGCTCAATCGTAGAATCCGAGCAAGTCGGTGAGACGATTTCGACGCCTCCTATAGCCGTGCCGAGAGTCCCGGATGAGCGCGTTTACTTCGAGGAAATCCAAAATGCGGTCCTTTAGGATGCTTTCCATGATCTTCCTCTGGATACTCGTGAGACTTACCGGCCTATAATTCCCCGGATTATTCTTTTCACTCGTTTTAAAGATCGGTACGACGTTCGCTAGTCTCCAGTCCTTTGGTCCTCACCGCGCGAAAAGCTCCTTACGAAAATGATTCTTAGTGGAACCGATATTTCTCTCGCAAGTTCCTTGGAATCCCGTCGAGGCCGGTCGCCTTGCCCACCTTTAACTTCCCTTTCTTACTCATGATCGTCTCCTCAATGATGGAAATATCCGCAATGTGCGCCGAAGTCACCTCTAAAGTCGGTGCTTCATCGGATTCGACAGTGAAAACGGATTCGAAGAACTCATTAAGTATCCCAGCTATATCTTTATTACTAGCAATCAACTCCCCCCTGCCGTTCATTAGAGGCCCGATCGTTTGCCGACACCTACCACTAGCACACCGATAAAAGCTTTGGGGTTCTTCTTAGCATCGGCCATCGGCCCACCGGCCAAAGGTGGCTATCGGTACAACCCTAATCTCAAACCGTCGATAGGAAAGAATAACTGAGATTCCTCTTCAATACAGGGTGGCCATAAAATCCCTTTGCATGAAAAAAAAAGATAACGTACCTCTATTCGAACGGCACCGTGTGTTGCCCTCCATTCTAGGCACACAGCTGGATTCGTGCCCAAGTTTTTCTTGACATTCTCCAAAGTGGAAGGCTGCATACTGTGAAAGCAGTTCCGGACAGGTGTTTTGAGTTTCTCAATATTTATCAGTCTTAAGTGTGAAGTATTCTCCTTGATAATTCCCCAAAGGAAATGATCACATGTTGTCAGGTCTGGGCTTCGGGTGGCCACATCATATCAGATCCTTGCCCAATCCACGATCGTGGATCCACACACTCGCTACAGGTCTTTCCTCTATCGTAAACTCACTAACGCCTGCCATGTTGAAACCCCACCTGTAAATACAGTATATTGTAGGGGTGCCGCACACGGCGGGGTTACCAATGTAGTGTGGAGTCCTCCTCGAGCCCCGCAGGGAATGGCGTAATGATTACGGAGGGAAGACCCTCCTCCTTCATACGCATACGTGAAGCCGTGCCGAACCTTCACACAGCTGCCGCACAGGACCGTGCGGACTATTAGAGGAACTGTGGTGACGGTGGTCCCCCACCGGACAACTAGGACGTACGAGGACGACCCTGAGGCTCCCCCATCAGCGTGAGGCTGTTATTCGCTACTGATCCCATTCACCTATCCCTGTTGTTTTCTTGTATAATAAATTGTGCGTAGTGTCCGATTACGCACC